TGGTATAGATCCATATAGTTAGATCGCAGTATGTTCCAGGGAACAACTAAAAAGTCTGACCTGGGAGAAGGCTTTCATACTAAAAAATGTGCATTATTTTGCTTATTTATATTGGCAGAAACTTATAGAATATGATAATGAGTTCCAAGAGTGTTAGACCAGGGATGAAGGAATACAATTTTTGATGAGACCAAAATTATGAATCTGGATGTACTTACCTGAGACCATGGATTCATTGTGCTTACCTGAGCATCTGGAAATAGTTCTAAAGGTTTGCTCAGTTGGTTGGTTGAAACCTGGACTCAGTGGTGGCCTGCACTAAATAAAATTGAGATGCTAGACATCTCTTGATGTATTTTATTTTATATATATATATATATATATATATCTTTTGTGAGGAAGATCAGCCCTCAGCTAACATCCGTGCTAATCCTCTTTTTGTTGAGGAAGACCAGCTCTGAGCTAACATCCATTGCCAATCCTCCTCCTTTTTTTTTTTCCCCAAAGCCCCCCAGTAGATAGTCGTACATCATAGTTGCACATCCTTCTAGTTGCTGTATGTAGGACGCGGCCTCAGCATGGCCGGAGACGCAGTGCGGTGCGCGCCTGGAATCCGAACCCGGGCCACCAGTAGCGGAGCGCGCACACTTAACTGCCAAGCCACGGGGCCGGCCCCTCTTGTTGTATTTTAGAGGATGGAATTGAAAGACTTAGGGAGAGACTGTTAGATTTACCATGTGTGACCCAGTCATCTACTTCCAAACGTGTCTTGAGAGGACCCAGAGGACCTTCTCTTCACTAATGCATTGAGAAAATGTTGGGGAGGAAAATGCCAGAGTCCTCTAAAAGTGCTGTAGCTGTTGTCCTCTAAGCTCATGGATGAAGTTAGGAGAGGCTGCCATTGAATGGGATCCATAATTCCCTGTGCTTACCGTAATAGGCAGCAGGGCCAGAGCAGTAATCATAGTTATTTCACTAGAAGGGATCTTTAGCAGTAACTGATCATGGTGTTCCTAGAATTGAAATGGATGGACAGCCTACTAAGATCCTACTTGATCTGTATGATGAGAAATTACTAGATCTGATGAAGAGAGACCTGAACTTCATCACCTTAACGGAGATTTACAACATCTTGGCATTGGCTTCTTGAATCACAGCTATTATAACAGGAAGACCAATTGGAAGCCCCTAGAACTGCCCTATTTCACCAAAAGAGTAAAACCAAAAGCAATACCATATTCCCAGTGGAATTCAGTGATTGGTGCCACCACCAAAGACTTTAAAGATGCAGGAGTGGTGATTCTCCTCACACTCCCATTTAACCTTCTGTTTGGCCTGTGTAGAATACGAATGGATCATCTAAAATGTTCATCTAGGGGCAGGCCCCGTGGCTTAGTGGTTAAGTGCGCGTGTTCCACTACTGGCGGCCTGGGTTCGGATCCTGGGCTCGCACAGACACACCGCTTCTCCGGCCATGCTGAGGCCGTGTCCCACATACAGCAACTAGAAGGATGTGCAACTATGACTTACAACTATCTACTGGGGCTTTGGGGGAAAAAAAGGAGGAGGATTGGCAATATATGTTAGCTCAGAGCTGGTCTTCCTCAGCAAAAAGAGGAGGATTAGCATGGATGTTAGCTCAGGGCTGATCTTCCTCACACACACAAAAAATAAAAATAAAATAAAAAATTATTTAATAAAATAAAATGTTCATCTAGATGTAGTCTTTTTATCAGGTGAATAAACACAATTCCTAGCACCTAGTATGCAGATATCACCCTGGCAAATGTCTTTTGCTCATTCTAATATGCATGGAACAAGTGAAGTTGCTTGCTTTCAACTGGAAGTGAGAAAATGTGAGAGAATTTATTTTCTAACATAAGGGCTATCTATGTTAACCCTCTAGTTCTCTGTCATAATTTAACGTGCAGAGACCATGATCATTTCACCACCTAATGGGACGTCACTTTTGTCTACTACATGTATGATACTGTGCTGATAGGACATGGTGAACAGGAACTAGCACATACCATAGATGCCTTGTGTAGTAAATTGTTTTTCCCTAGATGCAATGTGAACTTAACACTCTCTCATCAAGAGGTGGACTCTTTTACCCTTTCCCTTGGATTTGGGCTGGTCCTCCGGTATGTTTTAGATAACAAAATGCAGCAGAAGTGATTCTGTATAACTTCTGTGGCCTTCGATCTGCAGCTGCTGCCTTTGCTGCTTGGGACACTCACTCTCGGGATGCAGGTGCCACCAAAAGAAAAACTCAGCTGCCCACATAAAGAACCATATGGATGGGGTGGGAGAGGTTCTAGCCTCCTCATTGAGTCCAGGAAGTCACCAGACACACAAGTTAAGTCATCTTGGATATTCCAGCTTCAGCTGCAGTAGGGTTGCAACTTGATGAGAGACCCCAGCTGTTGCCACGTGGAGGGAAAAAAACCATCCAGCTGAATCCTGCCTGAATTTCTGACCTACAGATTTGTGAACAAATGGTTGTTGCTTTAAGCTGCTAAGTTCATTATAACAGCAAGAGAAAACAAAACACATTGGAAAGAACACATGCAATTCGGAGAGTAGGGGATAAACAGTATGAAAATTCAGGGTTCTGCTACCTCAGTGAATTTTCTTGGGTCCAGTGGTCTGGGACATATTAGGGTATCCCCTTAAAATGAAAGTTGTTTCACTTTACATCCCCTTGGATCATGGTGTTGGCTAGGGTCACTCATACAGCTGCATTCAGCTGGGAAGATGGCTGGGGCTTGCAAGTCAATGGCTCTCATGTCTGGCACCTCAGGTGGGTGGCTGAAACAGCTGGGATCTGGCTGGGTTTTGCTCTCCAGCAAGGTAATTGGATTTCTTATACGGTACCTGGCTTTCAGGGGAGGAAAGAGAAACTACTAGGTCTCTCAAGGCCTAGGTCTGGAACTGGCCTAGGATCACTTTCACCACATTTTATTGTTCAAATTCAAAGGGAGGGGAAATAGACTCCACTTTTGATGTGTGTACAGGGATGGGAAGAATTGTTTGGAGGCCGTCTCTGGAAACAGTTTGATTTTTTATTTTGCTAAGTATTATTTGTATTCATCAAGGAACTTTAACCTATTATTTCATTGTTTGCTATTTTTCCATTATAGTACATATTTGTCACCATGAGGAAGGAAAACAATTTCCATCCAATATTGCATGGTTGCAACCTACACACAAATGTACCACTAATAAATTCAATGTTTATTAGGCACTTGATATTTTAAATGATTTATATCATTTATATCCTGTGGCCTCATCTATCCCACTACCTATTTAGTTTTATTGGAGCACAGCCAAGCTCATGTGTTTATGTATCTTTTATGGCATCTTTTGTTCAACAATGGCAGAGTTAAGTAGTTGTATGGCAGAGACTGTATAACACACAAATCTAAAATATTTACTATGTGGCCCTTTACAGAAAAAGTATGCAGGCCCCTACTTTAAATTATGTGGAAATCTTTGGTGGATTGCTTCATAGGTGGTCAAGTGTTTAATGATATCTGGGGAAATTGGGGTTTGGGGATGGGCTGGAATGAATTACTGTTTCCTATTTAAATAATAATGGAATAAGGGATCTTTCTATCCAAAAATTGACTATCCAACCAGAGATCAGGAACAGATTATATTTAGAGGATGAGTGATGCCATATTTACTTTACCTGGACAAGTCAGTTAAAATGGTCAATATTGAGAATCTTATATAATTATTTTTAAGAAGTCTGACTTTGAGATTTTGTGAATGTTTCCTCTTGAATGTCTTATAAAGGTCGTTACATCTAATACCAATGCATTTTAATTAAACTAAGAACTTTTCCTAAGAAGAGACTAACTTCTGTGTCCAATTATTTCTCTAATTATGACAAGTTCGCAAGGTTAGCTAGGATCCCAGGTTAGTGCTGGAATGGCCCTCAGAATTATGCTCCTTGCCCTAACTCCACCTGTCCCCCTCCTCTCATCCCACCCCCCCACCCCCATGAGAAAACTGTCCCAGAGAAGTTAGTCGGCTTGCCAGAGGTCATAATCCATCAGTGAGAGAGCAGGTACTTAAATCCCCAGTCCCAGGTGCTTTATAGCATTTGCATATATGGAACAGTTATGTGTTCATTAACAATGAACTTTTACCTCTCGTGAACTTTTTGCTGGACAATCACAGTTCTGGGGGGGGGGGAGCATTGCTGGACTCATCAATAAAAACCATTCTTTAGTAAAATCAATAACGAGGTATGCCATGATTAAACTGCTCAGTTGATAGCTGCTCTATTTGTGGCGTACGACTCTTAACACGAATATTAAGTTGAGGCGTTGGATCAAGTTCTTTTCCAAATAAAATCTTGCCTTGCTTGTTAAGGAGTTTATAAACCATACCAGCTGGCTGCAGCACAGATACCAAGAACTTGAGACCTCAAAAGCTCCCTGGAGATCACCGTCCGACTCCCTCATTTAACATGAGAAAACAGAGGCTCAGGGAAGGATCTCAGCTAAACAGCAATACCATACATTCACACCAGGTTTCCTCCAGTTGCAATTGCCTTCGTTTTTTCAAATTTAAAAAGCAAAAGCAGGGCTCTTCCAGGCCAAGCGTCAGAAAATTCGGAATCTATCGGCATTATTTCTCTTTCTGGTTGAGCTCAGTTAAGATTTTTGGTAACTACACACAACTGCCGCCCTTTTCGTAACACAAAAGGTTTGAAGAAAAAGAGTTTACCCTGAGAAGCAACCGAGACACAGCGCCTCTTCCGGGCGCCGCCCCCTCACTCCCGCCAATAGCAACAAGGCCGGCGCTCACTTCCCCGAACCGGCCAATTGCTGCGCCGCGAGGGGCGGGGCGCCCGTTGCCAGAGAAGCCTCTTGCTGGTTACTAGCTCTGCTTTTGGCCTACTTGCACCTTGGCGTGCGCTCTTCCGCCGTAAGCGGATCTAGGAATTCGCCTGCTTCCCGCCTGCCGTCCCTGCCTTCCCTCCTAGCTTTACTCCCTGCACAGCCCTCTGCGTCCCGCTCCCTCCGAGCCGAGCCAGGGCTGGAGAGCACAGGTACGCTTGCCGGACTTTGCGCTAACGTTCGCGAGTCGTCAGCCTTTTCAGCCCCTCGGACGCCTTTCACAGCGCATCGGCGGCGGGCTGACGTCTCGGCGACGTGGTGACGCACGGTGGGGGCGTAGGCGCGCCGTCTGGGATTGGCGCGCACTTGGTATGGACGCCTGGGCTACCTTTGGGCGGGGCCGGGTCCCAGAAGTGGAAGGCTTTCTCGCTTGCCCAGGGGTGGAACCCCACGCCTTCTCTGCCGACACCCTGAACTTCCGCCAGACTGACGACCTGGGTTGGAACAAGGCAGCGACACTCGTACTCTTAGGAATGGAGTGGTCCCAGGGACAGCAGAGCGGATCTTAGCCGAGGGTGCTTGTTCAGAGCCAAGCCCTGACCGGGCCGACCTCGGACAAGGCTGCGTTTCTTTCCGAAATAGTGCTTTCTTACTCATTCGCCTGGCTTTTAAGTGCCCATCATATAATATCCCAGAATGTGGGAGACCCTGGGGCTCCGTAAGTGACGAATACTCCAGAAAACCTCAGGAAATAATTCCTTCTCCAGGGTCCTTCTAGATTCCAGCCTCTATAGGAGACCCCTTCAGTCCTTGGCTAGAGGCCGACTTGGGTTCAGTCGCAGCTCTGCCGGTGAACCAGCTGTGTGGCCTTGGGCAGGTCACTTATCCTTGGCTTCGGTTTCCTTATCTGTAAAATGAGGACGGTAATAGTCACTGAGGTGTGGTTGTAATAAAAGAGATTACGTAAACGCAGTGCTGGGTTTTGAGTATAGGTGGTCAGTAAGTGGTGCTTTTTCACTGAGACAGCCATAGCAGGACTGGCTGGTGTTGGGGATACAGTCTAGTGCGGAGACAAAGTTTCCCTGTCACTTAGCGCATGGTAAGGTTTCAGGTGTTTTTGAATGAATAAGGTTCTTGGAATAGTTTTAAGCACCACTTGGTTGGTTATGGTTAAAGGAACAAACCGCAGAAAGCCTGTCTGCTTTTAAAATTAGTTTGATACCCTTCTACTTACAATAAGAATGTCATGGTCGTGTTCGTAATAACAGCCAGATATCCATGTTTTGCTTCTCTTTTTCTTCTATTTTCACGATTGATATGTATTAATAGTGTAGTTTTTGTATCCCAAATACCCAAAGTTTGAGCAAATGGCTTTGTTTCTATTGCTATTGTTCATTGTGCCTGGTCTGTACAAATGAATGAGACCCAAGAAGTTGGGTATAGCAATAAGGTTGAAATAATACCCACTGGGCACAACTCTGTTGGAGGTCAATAATTGTTTTTCCGTAGGCTTTCGTTTGGTAGTACTGTCAATTTATGACTACATTAAGATGCCTTGTAACAATTCTGCAAAGAATAGATCTTGAAAGAATTGTTTTGAAGATAAGAGTTCGTTCTATAGGAATAACTCAGGTCTGCAAGTAATTTCAGGAATGGTGATTGACTCAGCATGACTTTTTTTAAAGAAATGAAAAGTATTAAAGAGAAGACCTGGTGGGAAAGCAACCCCAACAGAGTGAGCCAAAGGGGCCCTAAATTAAAAAAAAAAAAGCAAACAAAAGAAACCCACCTGTAAATGCTTCTACTTTCTGTTCAAACCTCACCACAGCGTTGGCTGGCAAAAGTTATTCTCATTTCGTAGAAGAGAAAACCTAGGCTCGTTGTGGCTAAGGGTTGTCCAGGTCAGGTGACTCATAAAGAGTAAGAACTGATGAGTCTGGCCTAGTATTCTTTCATTTTAATGTGCTGCCTCTGAATCATCAAGGAGTAGTTAAATTAATGTTAAGTGTATCTATGTTCTGTTTAAGAAGCAAGGAAGGAAGAAATAATACTTTTAAAAGATTTTTTTCAAACTGGTCTAAGTTAATATTGGTACTTAAAGGGATAAGCTATTATTATCTGGAATTTATATGTGGAGCAATCCATTCAGATGGTCATGGGTAAATGAAGTGTTATATTTGATCACTTTTTTCAGTACTGATTTCTTTTTATTCTGGCATTTTAATTCTAATTCCTTCATTTTTTTTTATTTTTTTATCACCAATGGAAACAGCTTTTATTTGACTTCTTCAAAATTTTTTACATGAAAAGAGTGTTGGAATTTCTTCTCTCTGGGACCCTAATAACCAGTTTTCACTGCTTCTACCCTCCTCCTCTCCATATGCCTAGTCCATTCTCCAAACTATGACTGGATTTTTCTTTTGAAAATGCACTTCTGAGCTGTCATTCCTCTGCTTAAAATTATTTAATGGTCTGTCTTAATCTTTAGGAAAAAATTCAAGCCTTAAGCTTGGCATACAGTGACTGCTTTCACCATGTCCAGTCTCATCTTTGCCACTTGCCCTTACAAGTCATGTTCCCTCACGATTCCTTGTTCTTGCTGGTCCTGTACCTCTCCCTGGAACGCCTTTTCCTGTTCCCTTTTGCCAAGCTAAACTTGTTCTGCAGGACTCTACTGAGGTTCCACCTCCTCTAGGAAGTCTCCCAGGATCCTGCCAGTTGGCGTTAGGATCCTCCCATACGCTCTCATGGTAACCCATGAGTCCCATGTCACCGCCTTGAGCACACTGGATTTTAGTGGTCTGTTCACTGCCCTCTCTTTAGAATTATAGTCTGTTCCTTCAAGGAGCTTAATCTTATTCGTCCTCCATTTCCTTGTACAGAACAATTTTCATTTTTTCAATATAAATTGAATTTATAAGAGTGTTGTTAAAACCTGACTGAATTGGAGCAAGTTTGTATGTTGTGTAGATTCTTATATTTATTTATGTTTTAGTATCTGATGACTTGATTCAAAACTGACTCACACCACTTCCTTACTTGTAATTGTGGACAAGCTACTTAACCTTGCTAAGACTTGGTTTCCTCATCTGTAGCTTTTGGATGTTAATAACAATCTCCAAAGGCTTTTTGTGAGCTGATGTTTCTAAGATCAGTCAGTGCTCTGTTAATACATGGCAGCAGTTGTCCTCATGTTGAAGGAAAGGATAGTGCTTTGTGTTTATCTGGTAAAGGATGCTGACTTTGTGACTAGGCAGTATTCTGAATGTCTTTGGTCCGATCTTCTCCTGGGTAATTGTCCCAGTTTGAGCAATAAATTATTTGGCCACCCTAACTTATATATTAGAACCTAACCTATGCCCCTCACTGTGTTAGCTAATATTTTTGTGTGTGTGTGTGTGAGGAAGGTTAGCCCTGAGTTAACATCTGTGGCCAATCCTCCTCTTTTTGCTGAGTAAGATTGGCCCTGGGCTAACATCCGTGCCCATCTTCCTCTACTTTATATGTGGGACGCCTGCCACAACATGGCTTGATGAGCGGTGCATAGGTCTGCACCCAGGATCCAAACCTGCGAACCCTGGGCTGCTGAAGCGGAGCGTGTGAACTTAACTGCTACGCCACTGGGCTGGCCCCAGTGTGTTAGCTAATTTCTGAGGGCAAAGGGTGATGGGTGTGATATTTGCCCCCACAGATTTAATAGCAAGTTTAAAAGAAAACTGAAATACGAGCATTTGTATGATTCTGAAAACCACACAGTGTTAGGTGTTTAGGGTTTTTGGTGGGCTGGAGCAGTCAGGGAAATATTTTGGGAAGAAGGGGGAACTTAGGCCTTGAAGTACCCATCCTATATTTACAAATCAGTCATTTGCTGTCAACTTTTTCCCCTCATATTATCCAATCTGCAACCCCTATTTTAAATTTAAATTCCTTTTTCTCTTTATTCATTGCAGAGAAGCATTAGCTAATTGTTTATCTAAGTTAACCTCTTTATATCAAAACATGTATTTTCCAATTTTGGTAGCTTTTACTTATAAGATCTATTTTCCACCTCTGGATTTTTTTGCTCTTTGCCTATTTCCAGATTTTCTATACATTTTTTTCATTATGGAGCTAAAAAGCCATGCAGTTACTTCTCTAGTGAATTTTTGTCTAGTGTCTGGAATAACGAGAGAAATGAGCAGCGTTCCTGTGTCTACTTTGCGTTCCTTGCTGAATATTTCATGGTGAGTTTTTCAGTAGAGGCTGTGTGATTTTGTTTGAAGCCATTGGGAGCTAGTTTTCCAAGAATCAGTGTTTGGCAAAACAAATTGAAACCTGCGAGATTCATATGCTTTTCTCTTTAGAGAGATTAGTTTTAAATACATATTTGTCTGCAGCTGGTTAGTTTACTTAGAACAATCTGGGTGCTAAGGAGGGTCTTGGACTGTGATCTTTCTTTTCTCTGACCGTGGCCAACATCATGGCCCCTGAACAGCCATCCCTCAAATGCTTGTTGTGGGCCAAGATGGAACATAGTTTAGTGAGTGTAACTGGATCACCATAAACCCATGACCACTCTTGGGAAAAGCTTTAAGTACATGCCTTTTGGGGAGGGAGCTGGTAAAGTCATCTCTATATAGGAATTTTAATTCTTTAAACATTTAAAATATTTTAAAATTGCTAATCTTGGATTTGATCATTAAATATGTTTGCAGAAAATGTGTCTGTTTCACTGCTAACAAGTTGTACGCAAGTATAATACATTTGTCAGCTGGCAGTTTATTCTGCATAATTGAAAACATTTTCTTATGAAACATCTGCTTTTCCATACAAGAATACATTTGGTCAACTAAAATATAGCATTTTTTTTTTATAAAGGCAAGATTTTTTTATGCTAAAGAAAATTATTACATTGTTCACCACACATATGTTTTTGGTTATAGTCACAAAATGAAAATACTAGAGTGCCTTGGAACTTTTGAATATCTTTATCCTGGAAAATATTTCTAGAATGTAAGAATATGATTGTTAATAATTTCTACGGAAATATATGACACTTGATTTATATAGTGTTCTGCTTTGTGTTTTGAAGAATCACTAAAATCCCTATTTTTATAATTTGTTAATATTATTTGTTTATCCTTTAAGATAAAACACAGTTACTAATTATAGGTGATGAAGCACAAAAATGTTGCATGATTTTATCTTGTGACAAAATTTTTAGAAAAATTATATATATAGCTGCCAGTAGCCCACGAAGCCAAGGAAGGACTCATTTAAAATTCTGATGACAAATTGAATCTTATCTCATAAAATATTTTCTACAAATTGAAGATCCCTATCCTCTAGTATTGACTTTTGAACTTTTATTCCAAATACAGGAACCATTTTTCTTTTAATGATCCCCAAAAAAGATGAATCAAGGGATGACTAAGTAAAAAGCAGCAATCTTCATTCATCATATTCATAGCTGCTCTAAGCCTGAGTCCTCTCCTTCAGTTATTGCTTAGCTCTTACAAGGCTCATAGGTACTGAAGATTCAAATATAAATGAGACATTCTTTATTGAGATTCTAGTGTACAGAGAGACAAATATTTAAACAATTGAATGGATGAAAGATAAATACCAATTCCTCTCTGAGTGGGGGGGCTGTTGCAACTGTACCCATCAGTTCTCTTGATTGCAGTGACTTATCCAAAGCATGTTCTTCTTCACCCTTAGTTTTTCATTTGATTTTGCGTGTCTGTATGTATAGTTGTAATTTTTCTAGACTACGGATAGCTCAAAATATTGTTATGCCCGGAATAATGGATGTTACATGTTTGTAGCATTCAAGTAGGTCATCTTAGATTACCTGTAGGGTTATTCAGCAGTTCCTTTTGAACATGAGTTGTTGGTATTTCAAAAATATCAGCGTGCTTTTCATTGGCCTGCGTCCTAAATATTTGTCTCTGTGGTGTATAGAACCTTCAGACAAAAATAAATATATTTTTACAGACACTTTGAAAGGCTTCTGAACTGCTAATTAAATGTTGTGGGTAATTTTCAACATCTACCTAAAGTATTGAAAATTCTTGAACATATATTTTGTGATACAGAAATATGAAAATAAATTACAAAGAGGTGAAATATCTCTGAAAAAATACAGAAAACCTGAAATATAACATTTAGTTTTGTAGAAACATAAAATGAAGTCAGGGAGACACATTACCGTATATTAGAGTTGTGAAAACACAGCCTTAATGGTTGCGGAAGCGCTAACTCATTACTTGAACTGCAACAATTTTAAAGAAATTCATAAATATTCACATTTTCAAAGTGACATCTCCAAGTTTCAGTGAAAACAATTAGATTATTTAGTAAAATTTAGAAGTAATATCATCTGTCTGTTCATTATTGCCAAAGAGTATCCTAGATTGACCTGAGAAATAGGAATAAGTGAATTTAATTTTAAAAGGTCTACTTTCAAAAGAATATTGTATTTTCTTTGTAGCTACTGTTGCCAAATATTTCTGAAAGTATGTTGAATTTCTACTGTTCTAGGCATAAATAACATGCATTTCCCATTAGATGGATCTAATGAAACTGAGGACCATAGTTTAACGCATGGTTTTTATTCCATTTTCTCGTCTGATTGGATTAAGATAATATTATAATACTTCAAGAAATAGACTAATAATAACTTCTACATTCTTGTCATTATGTAGAAAATAGTGGGCCTTTTGGAAACTGTGTGTGGAAATTGGCAATTGTTGAATGGTTGTGCTATGCAATTTTGATACTAGTTTGAATTAATATCACAACGAACAGCAGTTATAATTTTTGTGTGTGTGTGTGAGGAAGATCGGCTCTGAGCTAACATCTGCCAATCCTCCTCTTTTTGCTGAGGAAGACTGGCCCTGGGCTAACATCCATGCCCATCTTCCTCCCCTTTATATGGGACGCCGCCACAGCATGGCTTACCAAGCGGTGCGTCGGTGCGCGCCCGGGATCCAAACTGGCGAACCCCGGGCCGCCACAGTGGAGCGCGAGCACTTAACCACTTGCGCGACTGGGCCGGCCCCAGCAGTTATAATTTTGATTTTGTGAAATATTCTTGTACACATCTGTAGAGTCTTTATCTTACATCACAGAGTTATGACAGGAAAAAAATCTTTACTGAAGTGATAAGTTTAATAACTAAAATATTTCCTAACTTTCAGCTTGGAGAAGTTGTGGAAGCCACCCACAAATCCATTTACTGAATTTATGGAGAAGCCCTCAAATGACGGAAGTCATTCAGAAGAACTATTTTCCCATCTTAAAAGTAGACCAGAGAAGGAACATTTACCACGGCATGCCAGTGAAAGTCATCTCAGATGGTATTCTCAACAATAGCAGGGGATATCTCATTTTCTGGTTTCAGAGTTTCATGTTTTGTCCATATTGTAAATTATTTGAATCAAATACAGCATTCTTTCGTGAATATCTTCTTCAAATCTAGTAATTCATATATTTATTTAATCTGATTACAAATGCGTTCATTTAGCAGAATTTGACTAGTTTTTTGGAACCTTAATGAAAGCAATTAAAAATGAAAAGCTTACTTATTAAGAATGTGTCAAGTATAAGGCTTTTTAACTAAGGTAAATGAAAATATAAATACTATGGCATATTGGAAATGTAGTTAATAAACGATAGTTGACTGTCCTTTGGTATATTGCTGTATAACAAGCACCTGTCATATTTTGCTTCTTTAGAATGAGGAATAACACTTGTTATTTATATGACTCATTGCCCTCAAAAATGATAATCTTAAAATACCACTATTGTCCATATGGATGGTATAGTCCAGCTTCTGGTTTAGCTTGTTATAAATGAAAATGATGTTTTCTCATACATAATCATTGTTGACTTTCTGCCCATGGTTTTTCATAATGGACAGGTGTCACTTATAGCCAGCATCTTCTTAGGCCCATCACTTTAGGCTAGTGGTGCTTAAGAACCCTGTCTGTTGTTTGACATAGCCACTAAGATGCCATCAATTGTGGATGAGCCATTATATTATGTTCCATAAAGAAAGACAAGAGCTGCCAAGTAAACAAGATACAGTGCTTTCTTATTACTTGGAATTTTATTTATAAATCTTGAAAAAGCTCCTTCAGACTTAATTATACATAGATTTTTAATGCAAATAACTCTGTACTTATATAAAAATAAAACGTGAGTGAAATAAATTAGTTAAGGTATTCTCAAAGCTTCGTTATACTCAAAGTCTAACTCTTCTGAATCATTCTTTGACTCAGAGTTGCCCTTGCTATTAAGAGTATTGGTGACATGATGTTTATTAGGAGCATCTTTAAATGAAATAAAATTTATTGGTGCTGAGCTCTTAATTACAGTATACAGCCAGCCTACATTGGAATCTTGCTTCTGGAATGTTGCTAAGCATTCCTATTTCACCAACTCCCTGAACCCCTCTCTGTGACCCTTCGTTCCTAAGGGTTAGAAAAGTGTTGCACCCCATCTCTGGGATATTCTCCGGAGTGTTGGACACCCGTTCTATATGTTTTGATTTTGTGCTGGAAAGACAGGTCAGGACTGCCTCCTGACTGACAAAGATTATAAGAAGCATCCTGATTTCAGAATGTAAAAATGTGACCAAAAAAACAAATGTATCTTACAGTGATACACAGTATTGTCTAGGCAAAATATAATCAAGAAGGCAAATATCAGTTTTGTTTTGAATGATAATAATGTGAAGTCAAATGTGAAGGATTTTTAGATACCTGGAGAGTTTTAGGGGTTTTTTTTGCTCCATTTGTTTAGCTTGTTCTTTCTTCTGCAGGAAATTTTTTGTGAAAACCAGCAAGTTTCAAGAAAGGATTTGAGACTAGGATCTAGAAAAAGAAATCTTTTGGGTTTGAGTAAGGGAGAAGGAAGGGAACAAAAAAAAGACATATACACATTCAGACAAATCGTTTTACAAACCAGACAAGGGATATTGAATAATTATCAAATAGCACTTGAAACACTGCTAATGGCTTCGTGTTTTGCATATTTTAACATTTTAAAAACTGTCTTTCCATGTATAGTAAGTGTAGAAAGGAAGTATAGAAAAAAGTTCGTACATTTTCAGTGACAATTTACTGTTACATTTTGCAGAACAATTTATGGAACTGTAATATTTAGTCAGACTATGCTATATTTTCATAAAAAGTGTAACTAGTTTATGTGACAGTTTTAACTTAAATTTTATTTGTGCATGTGTAATTAGCCTAAAGCAGGACATCCTAAATGAAAAGACTGAATTGGAAGCAACATTTAAGGCAGCTGAGTTGGCAACCTGTTCTGTAGAATTACTTTTGCCATTATTTAAGGACACCATTGAAGAGATTAGTTTTGAAAATGTGAGTATTTGACTTGTGAACATCTAATAAAATGAAAAGCTAGCATAATACCCAGAATGCATTAACTGAGGTCTCATATCTTAAAGTAGTTATTGCCAATACTGGTATTTGATACCAAAAAATGCAGGATTATCAGTGTTCTTTAGTCTTGTGTCATTAACTGCAATTCTTTTCCTGAAAAGTAATCTCAGGCATGCACCTGATAAGAGGCTATGCTAGAAACTGGATACGTTGGTACTTGACTTACTTGGAGTTGAACTAGAGAATCAACTTTTCTCAAGAGTGAATTTAAAACTAAAATATTCTGAGAGATGAAATATATCTATTTTCTATAGTGTTATGCAGAGTAGAAAACTATTCTAAAGTTTCAGTGTACCAAAGTTTGAGTTAGGGACAAAAAATAAATTGTTTTCTATTAGTTTTATTAAAATAAATGTCTGCAATACTTTAGGGTTTAAGCCTTTATTTTGATTTCATTTTACTTTAATGTACTATGTAACAGATCCTATTTACTATTAATAAACTTGGCAAAATTTACTATTACTATGTGCAAAAGAATGATTTTGTTACTAGGAAAAAGTGTTCTTCGAGAATAGTAATATTATATTTGAGTGTCTTAATGCTATGTCTTAAAATGTGTATGTGGTTCTTATATTTTATTAGGCTAATCTTTCTGCATCCAATTTGGAGAAGTTTTCTAAACAGAAGGAAATATTAACAAAAGAATTAGACACTTTTAAACAAGTAAAACAAGCTTTAGAACATCATCTTAGAAAGACAGAATACCAACAAGTAAGAAGCACTACGCACTAATTTAATGGTGAAATTTCTCAGTTGGGGAGGTGTATTATTTCTCAAACTACAGAAATTAAAATACTCATATATTTGAAATGGAAATAGTTGTTGAATTTTTATTTGAAAATAACCATCTTCAACTAACCCCTACTTTTTAATTGTTTCATAAATATTTCTACATGAAAACAGCATGTTTTTGTAGAAAATATATTTTTATTTTCTATCTCAAACACTTTCATTGTGGGCCGGCCCCGTGGCTTAGCGGTTAAGTGCGCGTGCTCCGCTGCTGGCGGCCCGGGTTCAGATCCCGGGCGTGCACTGACACACCGCTTCTCCGGCCATGCTGAGGCCGTGTCCCACATACAGCAACTAAAAGGATGTGCAGCTATGACATACAACTATCTACTGGGGCTTTGGGGGAAAAAATAAATAAATAAAATTATAAAAAAAAACAACAACAAAACTTTCATTGTTATACTTCATTCAGCTGATTACAATAAAATACTTAGAATTTAAGCTCCTGTGTACATTGTATTTATACATTCATATATTCTTTTTTGTAATAGTTTTATTGATTATAGACACATACCATACAATTCACCCATTTATAGTAGGCAATTCAATGATTTTTAGTATATTCACAGAATTCTGCAGCCATCACCACAATTTTAGAGTGTTTTCATCACTATAAAAAGAAACCCCACGCCCTTTAGAAGTTTGCCTCCCAACCCCACCCACCCCTCTGTAGCCCGTTATCTACTTTCTGTCTCTAGGGATTTGCCTATTCTGGACATTTCATATAAATGGAATCATATTGTATGTGGTTGTTCATAACGTCCTTCTTTCATTTATGTTTTCAAGGTTCATGCATGTTGTAGCACATATCAGTACCTCATTCCTCTTTATTGCTGAATAATATTTCATTGTATGGGTATACCAGTTTTATTTATCCATTCTTCAGTTGATGGACATTTGAGTTGCTTCTACTTTTTGGCTGTTATGAAAAAAGCTGCTGTGAACATTCATTTACGAGTTGTATATACCCAAGAGAAATGAAAACATATGTGTAGCCAAGCAATTCCACTGTGTACCCTTACAGAGTCCAAGGATGGGCTCTCGAAGTCCATGAACCCTTTGAAATTGTGTGTAAAATTTTGCATTATATGTACATGCATATATGCTTTTGGGTGAAAGGAATTCTTAGCTTTTTCACATTCTCAAGCATGAGTGTGACCCTCAAAATGAATAAACATTCTTTTATGTTCTCATTTAAAATGTCTACATAAAATGCTGTTACTAATTTGCTATAATTCTTTAAAAAATTTCTTATTGCGAGAATTTAGGTTGTTTTTAATTTTTACCTATTTATAAACACTGTGAGCTTCCTTTGTATACAGTATTTTTGTGATTTTTATGTCATTGGCTTATACTTTCTGAGGCATTTTTTAGAGATTAATTTAGTAAATTAATTTCATAAATTGTAGACAAAAAATGATTTGGAACACTTAGGCAAAAATCCTTCTGATAGTTAACTTTTTAAAAAATCTGAATTGTGCATGGTAGTTGTCCATATTAATTTCTTAAGTGATGATTATTCCACTTTCTACTTCTTTATGTAGAGAACTACAGTTTGTGACCACTGATTTATAACATCTTTTTTTTCACAGATAGGGGACAGTTTATCCAGCATGTTAGAGAAGCTAACTGTTAATGAAAGTGAAAATACTGTAAGTCTTTTTAAACTTTGTGTCTGTTCTTCTGACATTTTTTGTTTGTATATTGCTTGGTTTTATAACATTGGCGAGTATTATCCAAGTTTGATATTTCTAAATTTTACCTTATATTTGCTGAAGAATCTTAAGAAGAAGATACTTGAAAAGGAGACCTATATCCAGGAACTTTCTTGCTTGTTTCAGAATGAAAAGGTAAGCAAATTTTGAGCTTAATTCACCATAATTTCTTAATATCGCCTCTCTTTTTCCCTTCTTTCCATCCTGGCCCCCATATCCTCAGAAATAGAAACAGAAAGGTTTTTAGCTTATTTGGATATTTTACAAGTTTTATGTATCAAATATAGCGTCTTATTTTTTAAAGTTTTTTTTTTATTTTTAGATTTTTATGGTGTTTCAGTCGGGTGCTTGGTATAGATCACTATATGTTAGGAACTATGTAAATTTGTATCATATTTTAATTTTTGTATAAATTGAAGAATTTTAGTGTTTGTAGGACATACCCATAATTTTACTTATGAGGATAGATGGGAATTTTTAAAAAGAGATAATTATCAGGAGCCATTAAATGAAAGGAGGGAGGAAAAAACATCCCCATAGTTTTATATAAAATACATTTGTAATGGGGGAGTCGTGGTTTATGTAAAGTGGTACTTTGCTTTTTTATGAACTTTTTAGGTCATGTCTAAATATGGTTAAAGTTAAAGATTGTGGAGAAATACAGATATAACACATTTTTTTGTTTTCTCTGTTTTAGGCAAATGCTTTGAAAGCAAACCGTTTTTCACAATCAGTAAAAATAGTACATGAACGACTACAGCTCCAAATTCATAAAAAGGAAGTGGAGAATGATAAATTAAAAGAATACATAAAGGTTATAAATATTCATCCATTTTTATAGTTTAAGTGATAAAATTAGTGAATGACTATACAGACTTGCCTTAATTCTGGAATTTGGTGGTTTTGAAAGAATTCAATTTGTGTTGCCGTGGGAAATACATATTTGAGGCAAATCTTAATTTTAAGATTTCTGGCCCATCTAAAGATTTGGCTCCAAATCCCTATATAAAATGTTATCTCTTTTTAGTGCCAATCCAGGAAGGATTTGTAGAGCTTGAATTACTTAAAAAAATCTTTCCTATTATATAATTTATGTTTTTTGTGGAAAATTTGTAAAATAGAGAAAATTAAAATAATTTAAAAACACCAAAACCATTGGTAACATTTTGGTATCTAGTATTCCAGTCTTTTTTCTATATCTATACATACATAAATACTCTCACACATATTTAGTAAGCAGTCAATAAATGTTTATTATTTTTGTGTTTGTTACTAATGGTAACAACCTTAAAATCAGTTAATCTAGGTTTTTAGGTTGGTGTTTTGATAATTGAGTAATCTCCTTGTTATACAGTTTTTTAGCAGTATAATTAAGAGGAATTTTTTGATTTACACTGAGTGGTTTAAATATTCTTTTGGAAGCCTCACAGTCACTTTGGGAAAAGAATTTGAGGATGCTATGATATGACAGGCTAATTGGAACTACTGTCATTATTTTTGCCAAAGGAAAAGAAGCAGTGTTCCCACTTTCAGAAGAGAAGTGTACAAAGACAAACCCCACTGAGTGTGAGGACTTCTGTGTTACATTTCTGTTTGCTTTTGCACTCCTGAGTAATAGCAGATGTCTGCAACCTGAGGCACATGTTTCAAGACTGCAGTTGGGGTGTTTGTTTTTTTTTTTAATTACAAAAAAACCCATCAAAGGGACATTAAGCAGGCTTATGAGGAGGTGTAAATTTTGTGCTTTGTCTCCCAACATGTGTTTTTAAGCACTTTCCCCCATAGATTCCCTGTGTCCTTTGCATCGGTGTCCTGGGGCACAGCAGATAAACTCGAGTTGGTATTGCATTGCTGTCTCATGGTAAATGCAAGAGAATACATGTGATTTAACATCTCAGACAATCATCTACGTCTCACGCAATTTTTAATTATGTCCTCAAATAGCAGTTGGGGAAGTTTTTGAAAATATTTTCCTTAATTTAAAAATGAAATATTAAATGATTTTTTAAAATTAAATTTAACAGTTACTTTTTATATCTATGATAATTTGGAGAAAATATAAGGCTAAAATCCTAGGATTTTGTCATTACATTCTCCTGTCTAATACTTTGAGTTCAAATTCCTTTATAAAAATTCAACTGTTTAGAAATGATTAAAAGAAGTTGCATTAGGTTACTGATATTTTTCTACCTTCCCTCTAACACACAGTTTTGGAATTTAAGTAATTGGGGGTCAGAATTTAGTTCTTTGATTTAGTTTTAACAATTTGTTTTTTAGAGTACAAACACAATGAACTCAGTTTGGTAACATAAATCCCAGTTTTTTACTATTGTTGAGTCAGTTTATTATATTGGGTCATTAAAAATTTTAAATTACATTATAATTCTCTGAGAACTATCCCAAAGATACTTTGAACCAATTTTTTTCTCTCTAGATCTTTTATAATATAGCAGTTAGAATTAGAATATTTTCATGTTTTAGGAGATATAGAAAATAATTATCTTTATACTATGCAGCATATATAGTTCTTTGTAAATGAGAAAAGGCAAATAGTTGACTTTAAATTGGTGCCTTTCATTTGGCAAATGACTGTAAGAGGTTATTTATTTTGAAACTATAAAAATAATTTGATAGTTTCAGTACACTTCCTAATAGTCCTTACGTGTGGGATTTGATAAATCCAGTGAGAAGGTGTTTACTGGAACCTTGTTCAAAAAAATTTACTTCACCTTTGGTGTTTAAAAGTGTTTTTTAAAGTGTAGCAATTATTCCTGGCGTGCTGATGACACCCTGTGGTTTCGTAGAAGAACGACAGCTGTATTTTTTGTGGGTCTTCATTTCTCTTAAGTCGACTTACTGTACTGCTCTTATTTGGTTTTCCCCAACTACTTATTAAAATGTTTCCTGGGAACTCTTAGTTAAGATAGATTTTTAAAGACAATTTAAGAATGTTTTATTTCTTCTCCTAGTCTACTTAGTGACTTTTCAAAGAGATCAAGTCTTTAAATCTTGTTTAAGATGTACTTCTTAATCTCAATTTTAGTGGAAGTTAAGAAACATAGTTTTTGTTCATCACAGAATTAAGCAGAAAAGCCATATCTTTTACTGTGACTTCCTTGATTTTTTTTTTATTAAAGTGGTTATCCAATGAATGGGAGACTAAAACCTAAATTCTGTAATAATTTTACATTCTTTTCAGTCTATATACAACTTTCAAAGAATGTAAAAGCATTAAAATCTTAAATCTTTAAGTTCTTAGATACTTAATACTCAAATACTTTAAATACAAAGTCTTAAAATAATTTGAAATAAAAACATGAGAGTTATCACTGTAAATCATATCCGTCATCCACCCAACCTAATATTCTCTCTCTCGTTATGTCACCAAGAGATATGTAAAGGAAACAGTCATGCCGATTAACACCATGAAACTCAGTGGATAGAAACATGCCCTCAAACATCTTTCTACCCCTCCTAACTCTTATGGATCAGGTAGTCATTCATTTATCTAAACATGTTTGGTCTTAGAATAGGAATTTCCACAAACTTACTACTCATTGGGTAAAGCTGTCTTTTTATTGTCCTTGATGTAACTCTTTCAAGTGTAAAGGCATGTCTCTTAATTCCAGTAAATTAAAATTTGGTAAGTAAGTATGTTTATCTCATCTATACCCTTCATGATCTATAGTTTTATCATATCTCCTTTAAGCCTTTATCATTCGAACTAAAGAGTTCTAATGTTTTTGAGGCGCTGCCGACTCCTTTGAGCTTTGTATAGCTATTGTTTGAATTGTCTCTGACTCAGTTATGGTTTTTTGATTTGCAATAACTAATACTATGTAATAGTCTAGATGTGAAATTTTTATAAGTCCTAGTTAATCACAAAAGTTTTAAGGAAGTTAGTGTTTTTACCGTAATCACCAACATTAGGATCTATAATACAAGTAGCATTAGTTTTATATAGGCTTATATATTTTAAATTTGCATTCTATAACTGGTTACAAATAAACAATGGTGAAATTATCTTTCTTCACTGTTTTGCTTTATAGTAATCTTATGATTAATCCTTTTGATAAAGCCTATGTGGAAGATTATTTACGTATTTTTATAGTGTTTACATAAACATTGGAGTTCTAAAATAATTTAATTGCTGCTAATATTTTTTTAGAGCTTAGAAACCAAGATAGCTGAATGGAACTTGCAATTGAAAAAGCATAAGCATGAGACTGTAGCAATGAAAGATTCAAGTAAACAAAAAGCAATAGCTCTAAAAAAGGCATCTAAAATTTACAAACAAAGGCTTGAACATTTTACTGGAGACGTTGAAAACCTTACTTCCCAAATTAGAGATCAGGTAAGTGTATACATTCTTTCTTAAATAACTATTTTGTGTACTTAGTTTATGTAGTTAATGTCATGATGCTTAATATAATAGTTTTGTTCTTCTCTTAATACTATTAATGCTAGAAAAACTTTACTCTTACTTTTTTGTATTAGTCTTTACTTTGAAAGATTACATAAAATGTCAAATTTGCATGTTGAATTATATCGGCATTTCCTTGGGAACTTTACTTAAAGGATATGTTAAGTGTGTCCCAAAACTTCTATGGCCAACTAAGGGTGACACTTTATACATGTTCCCCCTTGGAAATTTACAGTGCATGTTAGCATGTTAGAGGCCCTGAGGAGGCCTTCAGTAGAGCAGTGTAATGAAGGGTATTGAACTCAGAGTTTCCCACCACTTATTTAACCACAGAACTCTTCTTTTACCACAAAGCAACTCTTGGAACTGGTTCTGAGCAGCACCAGTTTGGGAAATGCTGATTTATGTTATTAGGCCATATGCCTTTTTTCAGTAATTCACTTCATTAAACTCTGTAATGCATTAAAAACCATACGCTGACGTAAACACACCATGTGAAAGTTATCTTTGGGTGTAGTACAAAGTTGAAAAATGGACTTAGTGCTTTGTTGTTGTTGACAAATTATTACATTTATTCAATTACCAGTTAATACAATATTTACTCTTTTTCATGTCTCACTGGTATCCCACCTCTTAAGAACCAGTGTTAAAGCTTATAGAATTATTAGAGGCTTTTATAAATGAAAACAGACTTGCATAAACACTTGTGTAAACAAAACAACTTAATATTCTATAAGCTCATGTTAACATGTTAAGGCTCTAGTATTTAACCTACATTCAGAAAAACTTAACTAGATAAAAGAATCGAAGACAAAGTTCAAAATCTAGAAGGTTGTAGACCTATTTGAATGCCTGAAAATATTCTTGAGTGGTAAAAACTAATTGAGTCCCCATTCTTGGGATTTTCCTATTTAAATAGCATCATGTCACCCATGCCTCAGAACATGGTATAGGAAGGCTCCTCTGCTTGTTTACCTTGTCCCTTTGGGTAAGGTACTTCACCTCTCTAAGTGTCAGTTTCCTTATCTATAAAATAGGTGATAATAATACTGCCTATCTCATATAATCGTAGGGAGGAGTAAAAGAGAAAATATATGTCAAAGCACAGTGCCTGGCCATACTACACTTTTACCATATTGGCCTCCTTTCTGTTCCTCTAATACATGGAGTTTGTTTCATTGTTTTGTTTGCTATTGCCTCTGACTGTAGTGGTCTTGTCAGTTCACAGTCACTGGTTCCTTTTTTTAATCATTCAGATATCTTTTTAATTGATATCTCTTCCAAATGGCCTTCCTTGACCACTTGTTTTGAAGTAGTCCCACAACAATGAATCATATCAGTGTCTCAAATTTTCTTCATAGCATTTATTTTATAGGTAAAATTTATTTTTTTCCATTCTTATTGAGATATTGGTAAAATTTCTAAATATCTTAATTTATATTATAATTGCCCAACTTATACTTCATAGTGTATATCAAAATCCATTTTACATAAAATATGAAAACAGAATACTAGTCTTCAATATATCAGAAATATTACTGTGAAAAATATGTAAACAAAAAATGTGTTACACATAGTAATGCTCAATAAATACTTGTTCAGTGAATGTCTGAGTGATGGAAGGAAAGAAGGAAGCACCCAATGAATGTTAACTATTGTCCTTAGTACTTCTGGGTCTTCTGGTTAGTGATTATTGGCACTGTTGCCATTCCAGTGAGTTTGTTTTTGTGTAGATTGGGGGCATAATGGCCACAGCTCACTAGGTAGATTTGTAAAGAGTAGATTCATTTGACAGTTATTTGTTGAGTGTCTCCTGTATGCCAAGCATTATTCAAGGCCCTAGCAATGAACAAACCAAACAAAAGTCTCTACCTCTTGGAGCTCACGTTCAAAGTGGATAAGCCACCATTACCAGTTTCATCTCTTTGCTGACAGTAAGAGTGTTTGAAGGCCAACAGGGGTGACCTCTACAAAACAGGTTGGCATCATTAAAACAAAGCTAAATAAGGCTGCATTATTAAATGCTATGGAATTGTGGACTTGCAGGTAGTTTCTACATATACCATAGAGGGCTTCTTTCTCCTCTGATGCTTCTGTGGTTGCTAGCATCTTCTATGTAGAGAATGCAAAATGGAAAGTTGAGTAAATAGAAATGGAATTATCTTCATTAACTATGAAAAATTGTTTGAAAATAGTTACATCAACATCCTTAAAACCTTAAGTTGGAACTGCCACTATGTGCCTATAAAATAATAATAATATAAATGTATTATTAAAGTTTACTTTAAAACTTTCCTATATTCAGAACTGTACACTGAAGTTTTCTGTAATTAAAGTTCTATACTTTATAGGATGAGTGTTTCCTTGTTTACAATGTATTTGTGTTTAGGGCCCTGAAAAAAAACGAAGTGTTACTAAATTATAAGATGAGTACTTGATGTTTTTTTCAGGAAGCCAAGTTGTCTGAAACAGTCTCAGCTTCCAATGCCTGGAAAAGTCATTATGAGAAAATTGTAATAGAAAAAACTGAATTGGAAGTTCAGATCGAAACAATGAAAAAGTAAGAAAAACATTTAGAATCTTTTTATTGTTTAATAAGAAGTGTTTTCATTTCTTTCCTCTTTGGTTTGTAGTTTGGTTCTTCTGGATTACATGTGGTAAAAATGTTGTCTATATTATTTGATATTTTTGATATTTATAATTTCTCTAAGCTTTTCTTACTCTAAAAATACAATGAAATGATTACCCATTAAAAGTGCTGACATTCTGAAATTTTGAACTTGTAGTTTAGTATTTGGCATGTAGAGCGTGTGTCATCTATTTGCAGTAAATGTTAACACTAACTTTGTCTTAAAATAGAAATGATATTTCTCTACTGAACAAGAATGTGTAAGTAAGAATATATAACGTAGTTTATAATAAAATCATAAGTAGTTTCAAAATCTTAAAAACTATTGTTCCTTAACGTGCCTTCAATGCATAAGAAAGAAAACAAGTGAGTAAAAATACATATATTTTATGCTTTGAAATTTATTATTGATAAGCCAACAAGAATGAAGCCTAAATATTTGCTTTTAAATGTTTTATTTTCTGTATATTCTCTTCAGTTTTATTATTGAAAACTAATGTATATAATTTGCTTCTGAAGATTAGTTATTGCCTCACTTGATCCTTTTATTTAACCTTGTTCCTGAAAGTGTGTATATGTGTGTGCACGAGAGACAGGTGGACAGACATACCTGTGGATGATAGTTTAGATGTTTTATTGAATAGCAAAGAGAAGGTTGTGTAATTTTTCATTGGCATCATCAATGAGTAATTATTTCTAATCAAGGTTACTCAATAGTAACCGTATCGATTACTGCTTCTTATTTCCCTTGTTCTATGAGTTCTGTTAACTTTTGAAACAATGCAACCTACCAAAATAATTTCAGAAACACACTTAAAATGTATTATTTGAATGAAAATTTTTATGAATTTTATAAAACATATCATTTATTTTAAAAAGGCAAATCATTAATCTTTTGGAAGATCTGAAGAAAATGGAAGACCATGGAAAAAATTCATGTGAAGAAATTCTTAGAAAACTTCAGTCAATTGAATATGAAAATGAAACTCTGAATCTTGAGAATACAAAATTAAAGGTACTGTGTGTTTGCGTGTGTGTGCATGATTGTATAATGACAGCCTAGTCTACTTAGTAGAAGTAGCTTCAAATAACAGCATGTTTTGAATAGTTTGCTTGTTTTGAATAGTTTGCTTGTATCATTTTGTCCTTTGTTTCTCAGAGTATTAGAGTATCATTATAACATGATACTATATCTATATCTACATGTCTGTGTATGCACATCTATACACACATATTTGTATATAGATTTTTAAATGTTTGTAGATGTATATACAGATACATGTTAAAATTATTTTCAGCAGTAGTAAATAAGATTTATGAAGTTGAATAACTGTCTCTTTATCTCAACATAAAAAAAATTTATTTACTCTTTAATTTTAGCAGTTAAGTGAATCATCCAAAATTACATTAACTTTAATGCATGTATTTCTAGGTGTCATGGTTACGATAGGATATAACCTCAGGCCTGGTCTGTTTGAAACCAGAAAGTATGTTCTTGGCTGCTTCATAACCAGAAAGAATTTTCCAACTTAATCAAACCCAAGGAGTGATTGGTTTGTATGTGTACCAGAGAAAAGATGGGGAAGAAGCTTTTATACTTTCTGAGAAAAAAGATATTTGAGTTCTCACCAGATGAGACTTGACTAATGACCATGGCACCATTTTCAGTTCCATAATACTATTTTTGGAGGACAGCAAATAGAAGACAGAAAAGAATCTGTGTATGTAAAAGATGGCCAGAGTTGGCAGTTCAAAGCTAATAGGCATGAGAGAACTTAGCCTCTTTTTACCTCTCTATTCTGCCATTCCTAGGTTGTGACCCTCATTCTTTATAATCCAAGTGGATCATGAGCCATTCATGAGCCATTATAGTCAAGTTTCAAGCAACAAGATGGAGGGGAAAAAAAGATGGATTATCTCCCTTTTTTTTTCCCATCTCCTCTCCTTTAGGGAAACTTCCTGCAAGTTCCATACCACTTGATTCTTGTACTTACTTAGGCATATGGCCCCACATAGCTGCAAGGGAGACTAGGGAATGTATTCTTCTAGTTATCCTGAGCTCTAGCCGGATATGAGTACTCATTATTTCCTGCAATTTGTTCATGTTTTCCTGTATCTATTCCTGTAATTTTACTATTCTTATGGTTTGGAATGCTATTTTCTCAGTATCTAAATCTTACTTTTTCTTTAAAGTTCAGCTCAAATGCTACTTGTCCCCAAAGTCTTCTCAATTAGGGTGAATCTCTTATAAACTCCCATCTTTGTATGCACAGGATGCCCAGGGAAGGTGTGACATATACTTCACTCTCAATGAATATTTATTAAATGAATGCTTAAAATGTTTTATCCGGGAAGAGGAAGCAATTTTATTCATTATGTTTATTTTCTGAATTTCCTTGGTATCCTTCAAACAGAAAGGATTAGAAGGATATTTCATTAATTGTAAATCCAGTTTTTAATCACATGATAATGGAATTAATTTTAAATTACATAGATATAAAAATTATTGAGTTAAAGTTTACATCTTATCATCTTCTATTAATAATTCAGAAACATGTATTTTTAATGCATTATTCTCTGGATTTTGTTTAAGGAAAAAAATCTAGATATGTTTAACATATGTTATTTACAATGTAAAATTGCCTAGATGTTGTATTTTGCTACTTTTAATTACTTTAGAATAATTTTAGATTTTAAAGTTTCAAATGAAACAATAGCTAGCTGATATTGTTTCCAAGGCCCAGTGACCTCCTCTATTAAAAACAACAAAAGTTTATTTGGAGGGTTATCAAGTTCTATTTGTTCATTATAGAAAGTTGGAAAAACAGAAAAGCACAAAAGGAAAAATAAAAAATCACCTGTAACCTCACAACTGGGAGAGATAACTAAAGTTACTATTTTAGCATATATATAATTTTTGGGATTTTGGATTACTTCCAGTTTTTGCTATTATAAATAAAAATGTGGATAGTTTCTTTGAGTCTTCTTACATATCTTTTCTTAGGATAAATTTCTAGAAGTGGAATTCCATGGTCATAACGGAGGCCCATTCTTAATGTTGCTGTTATATATTTCCAAATTACCTCTCATAAATGGGTCCCTATACTTTTTCCAGTACTAGGCAATTTTAAAACAAATGTTTCCAAATTTGATAGGTGATCTCATCTAATGTTGGGCTTTAAATACCATCTATATCCTGAGGGCTCTCAAATTTCTGTCTCTAGCCTAGACCTTGCCCCTGAATTCCAGACATATATTTTACTGCCTACCTGAAATCTCCACTTGGATGTGTAATAGGTGTCTCAAAGTTATCATGTCCAAAATAGAGCTCCTTCATGTATGTCCCCAAATAGTTCATCCTACAGTTTTCCTCATCTCAGTTAATGGCAATCATGCTTTCTATTACTTGGTGTCATCCTTGACTCCTCTCCCTTAACAGCCTCTTCCAATCTGACAGCCAATCTACTTCAAATATATCCAGAAGTTGACCACTTCTCTCCAGGACCACTGCCATTAAATTACCCTGGTTCAAGCTACCATCATCTCTCGTCATTACAGTGACTTTTTAACTCTTCTCTTTGCTTCTGCCCTTGTCCCTGCAGTCAGCATTCAGTGTAGCACTAGAGTAGTTCCTATAAAAATGCAAATTGGACATGTCACTGCTCTGCTCAAACCCTCCAATGATATCTTGATTAATAGAGTAAACATCTACAAGGCATTATACCATCTGGCTTTCCTTTCCCTCTCTGACCTCACCTTCTTGCACTCTCCCCTTTGTTTTCTCCCTTCCTGCCACATTGGCCTTCTTGCTGTGTCCCGGCTAACTGGCCTGGCCTTTCCCACCATTGCCTTTCTCTGCAGGAATCCTCTTCTCTCAAAGAGCCAGGCTTCCTTTTGCTGTTTACTCAAAAGTTCCTTTCTCAGGAGGAGAAAGGAGGCCTCCCTGGCCCATCTGCAACTTGTTCCTAGCCTGCTTTTGTGTATGATATATTTTATTTCTTATTCTTGTTTTTTTTCTATCTACCCCTTATTTTTGTCTGTCTATACATGAAGTATTTAAGCTCCAGGAAGGAAGGGATCTTTGCTCTTTTGCTCATTACTGGAAGAATATCCAGTGCCTGGAGCATTTTTTAAATAACTAGTAAACATATTTTTTTATGTATTCATTGATTATTTACATTTCTGCCTTTTTGAATTACCTACTCATTATCCTTTATGTGTCTTTTTTCTTAATATGTAAGAACTTTCTATATATTATATTTGTGATAATTTGTTAATTTTTCACATTTTGATTGCCTCAGATTTTTTGAGGGTGCTATGAAATTTTGGAGATATATACCCATATGTATATATATGTATATGTGTGCGTATATATATATTTTTTTCTTTTATGGCATCTGTTGGGAGTCTCTCACATTTTTGCACAGCTTGCAAGCAGAGGCACTGGCTGCCTGTGAACCAGACTGTCTTTTCAAGGGTGTTTGTATAATGAACATCCATGGAAGGTAGCAATGCTTCTTTCTATCAAAGAGTAGGCATACTTACTGCCTGTTTTAAGAGATTTGGGTTCCCTAAACTCAGGGTTGCTCCTCAGTAATGCATTCGACTACAGGTACAGGTACCATCTGGCCTCCTCTGTGTTGCCCTATCTGAACTGGGGCTTAGAAAACTAACACAAATGTGGATATCTGGCTACTGCTATTGCAGTGAGTAATGAAGGCCTGTGTCTCTGACCCACGAGTCTCATGTCTTCGGCTAGCATCCATGAAACTGTGCTAGACTAACTCGTAAACTTGGAGGGTAAAATCTCAGACCCAAAACAGTTCTTGATATCTTCTTTTGATTTTATGTCTAATAGGGTTTTTGCTATCCTAAAATCAAATAAAATTGTACCTGGATCTTCTGTGAAAATTTTTAAAGCTTTATTTCTTATATTTGTTAAATATAAAATATGTTGACAAATATATTTATATTTTATATAAATAATATATAAGATATATGATATATAAAAATATATGAAGAAATATAAAAAATAATGTTGGGTAGAGGCAAATAATTAATCTATTTTTTTCCTCATAGTTAAACTGTTGTCTTATTACCATTATTTACTGATCCATATTCTCCCCATTGATTTAAAAATCCAGCCTTGTTATACACTAAATATAATTTTAGTGTATTTTTCTTTTTCTGTTCCATCGGCCTCTATATTCTTATGTTAGTATCTTAATAATTTGAGTTCTTTATACATTTTAATATCTAATAAGAACTGAGATTCTCCACTTAGTATTCCTTTCAAATTTTTATTAATCTTTCCTATTTATTTTTCCATATGAATTTTAAATTAATTTCGTCATATCCCCCCTCCCCTCAACTGTTATATTTTGGTTGAAATTGCATTAAAGTTTTATTGATTTGTAAAAACACTGATCTGTCAATAGTATTGAGTCTTCCCATCCAGGAACATGGTCTTCCTATTTTCCAAGTCTTTTTTTGTCAGTAAATTTTAAAAATATATGTCTTGAATAAGTCTTATTAATGTTGTTCATAAGTATTACTTTTTGAAATTCCTTTTTTAGATTAGTCATTGTATCAATCAAAAATAATTATTTTATTGATTTCGTTGATGAATGAGTTATGTTTTCATAATCTTGTAGCATGGGAGTACAAATGAGTTCTAATGATTTATAAAATCTATTTATATATTCTCTGCTAGACTACACTTGCTGCTTTGAAGGACGAGATTGTTTCTGTTGAAAATGAACTCTTAGAATTGCAAGAAGTAGAAAAACAACAGAAAGCCCTTATTGAAGTGTATAAAACTCAGGTGACCATTGCATTTATTTTAATGGTTGTTAAATTTGATAGACAATTTAGAACACTGCATATGTTTACAATCTAAATCAACAGAAGTGAAGAAAAGTAGAGCTGTTATTTTGTGATAGACTATGATATGTCCCAAATATTTCTTAATGTTCCAAATACTTTTATAAATAGATGATTCTGCTGATTCTTGATTCAAACATTTCCTGTGTATGTATTGGATATTCCTAAAAGTAGATCTAAAATTAATTACATAGGTGTAATGTAAACCTTATGTATAATCTTGTTAATCTTGGTTATAGTTGTCATCTTGTATATTTAATGGTATTGATTTAGAATAATGACTCCTTTCTGGCTCATTAAAGCCCAATACCCACTCTTTCCCAATCAATAAAGTATAATTCAGATTTACTCACCTGAAAGACCTGGAAAAGAACATATGACAGTATGTATGGAATAGAGCGTGTGTTCAATGTTAATTTATGGAAAAGCTTATATTTTGGAAATACAGTGTTCAAGAATAGCTTCATGAGAAGGATGAGACTTATGCAGGTCCTTGAATGAAGAGTAACAAACTAGTCAATAAACAGCTTGATTTTATTGGGAGTGTTTGAATTAAAGAGTAATGAACCAAAGGTAAAAGCTTAAGGAGGGCATAGTGTAGGTAAGTAGGAAGGGGCTGCACCTGGATGGTTTAGATGGGAAAATGGAGTTGAGACATCCAATTAGAATATTGCAGTCATCCAGGAGATAAGAATGGAGGCTCTGGTGGACTGTAGGACATGTTCCTGAGAATGTCATCTGGTGTTCCAGCTGGTTGTTCGGGTTTAATCCCTTAGCAGTAATTCTATGGATGAGTTACCATAGTCTAGGCTCTGGGCCTTGTATAAAGTGTTCTGTCAGATATTTTTTGAGCTGATTTTGATTTGGAAGATAAAATAATTGGTATAGGAGCTAGTTTGGTATGGGAGGCTGATTCTTTTTTTTTTTTTTTTTTTTTGTGAGGAAGATCAGCTCTGAGCTAACATCCATGCCAATCTTCCTCTTTTTGCTGAGGAAGACCGGCCCTGAACTAACATCTATTGCCAAGCCTCCTCCTTTTTTTCCCTTTTTCTCCCCAAAGCCCCAGTAGATAGTTGTATGTCATAGTTGCACATCCTTCTCGTTGCTGTATGTGGGACACCGCCTCAGCATGGCCAGACAAGCGGTGTGTCGGTGCGCGCCCCGGATCCGAACCTGGGCAGCCAGTAGCGGAGCACGCATACTTAACCGCTAAGCCACGGGGCCGGCCCCAGGAGGCTGATTTCCTTAAAGTGACATTGACCTGCAAATGAAGATCTCTAATATTCAGAGCTCAAGTGAAGAGTCTAGAAATATTGGTGGGAAAAGACAGGTAAATCATAAAAGGATTGTGGAATAGAGTAGAGCATTGAGTGATTCCCATATTTAAAGAAGGAATAACATTAGATAAACATACGGAAGGTATTGATAAAGAAATAATTATTTGTTTAAAATTTAAAATGCAAATTTTTAGCTTTTTATTTCCTGTTATGGTCCTAATAATAAAATAATACATGTTACTCTAATAATATATTTTGTTTTCAGATACAAAAGTTGCAAGAAGCAGCTGAAATGGTGAAAAACAAATGTGAAAATTTACTACATGAAAATAACCTAGTAACAGAAAACAAAAATAAAAAATTAGAGAAGGTAAGTTTGACATTTTAAATAGTAAAATAACATTTTATTTATATGTTTTGTACTTTTATGAATATTACACAGATCCTTTCATTTTAGTCATTTTCTCTAATTTAGACCTAGGAATTATCTGTTCTCAGTCTCTGTAGGAGTTTGTTTTCTGAGGAAATAATGTTTCTTCCAGGCTTGAAATGTTGTTTGTGTGAATGTTTTTTACTTTTTTCTTAATATTTGGAAAATAGCATAAACGTTTAATTTTTCTGTTACAAGAGCAGACTCAAATAGCTTGAAAAAATGGTCATCACTGAGTTTCATGAACCAGAAGTATTCAAACTTGAATACGTCTCCTTTTTAACCACACCTTTTTTTTCTGGTATTAAATCTTTTGTGTCTAAAAAACCAAAGTAAATATTCTCTGCTAAATGCTTTTTTGGAAGAAAAATAACATCATAAAAAAAAACCCAGTGTCATTTTCTTTTTTCACCCTATTGCAACAGAATGAGGGGAAGGCCAAGTTATGATGTTTTTGTGAATATTTTTAAGTTTTTAAATGAAACCGCATCCCTTTTTGGGTTTTTCATGTTGTTTTGGTAAGGAAGCAGTGAAAGTCGTAGGACGCTGACTCCTGGCTGGAGAGGTCATGGGATGTTACTGGACAGTTCCAACTGAGTGTAATAAGGTGACTGTCTCTGGGGTGTCCTTGCATCTTGGGATTGAGAAGTCTGCGTGAGGCACCAACATGAAGAAAGGGTCAGCCAGAGCAGGCATTCTGCTGGTTAAACAGAGATAAAGAGAGCCATCAAACATGCAACTTCCTGCTTTCTTAGAATTACTTTTCACCTATTTTAGCAGACCAGAGAAGAAATCATGTCATGCCTCTTGATCTCTTTCTCATGAGACTAACCAGTGCAAATGTCTCCTCTTTTGCTAGGCAGCACTGTAAATAAAAGCCTATTAAAAAACCTGTTCAAAAGGCAGATGGGGCAAGAGCCTGTGTTTTTCAGATACTTTGAGGTCACAATATTTTCTTACTGGTATTAAACTAGAGAGGTCATTTTTTAAAATGAAATTCTTCCTTTTCTTTTTCCACTGTTTTAAGTCTCCTGGTTTTCTCATGGGCTCTTAGATGTTTGGGGACTTGGAGGGATGCTTTGTTCTAGTTTTATCTTTTGGGATCAAGAATACCGGATGTTGCACATTAGCTCTTGGTGTTCCCTGTCTCAGGGAAAGAGTCTAGCTCTCATTTTTCCTTCACATGAACATCCTAAATGCCATTTGTCTGGTTATTTTTTCTTAATTAACAGTACAAGCATTTCTTAGTGTGGTTTCTTGTCACATCTCCACAAAAGTGCCTCACTGAGAAACTGCAGCAACCAAAAAGATCAATAGAGATAAAATTAGAGAGATTTGTTCATAGTGACATTAATGATCAAATTACATCTACTGAGGGACTGATGATATTAGCTATCTTGAAATAATATACAGTAAACCCCACCGATTTTGTCTAAGATGAGTGCAGCAAGGCTGCTGTAATTGCAATATCTGAGTTACAAGATTGATTGACAAAAAGTGACAATTACTTTAGACTGATGGCTGGACAGTAGAAAACTACCATACCAGCTTTATTAGTAATATCTGTGCTTGAATATAAAAGACAGGATTCAAAAAGTTTGCTTTCCTAAGTAGGTTAAACATTCTCCCTGCAAGCTAATACTACTATATTCATTTGCTCAACGAACTTTTTGAAAACTAATTGAAGTTCAACCAATTTTTTGTGTATGTGTGTGTGAGGAAGATTAGCCCTGAGCTAACGTCTGTTGCCAATCCTCCTCTTTTTTGCTGAGGACGATCGGCCCTGGGCTAATATCCCTGCCCATCTTCCTCTACTTTATATGGGACGCCGCCACAGCGTGGCTTGACAAGTGGTGCATCGGTGCGCACCCGGGATCCGAACCTGCGAACCCCAGGCCACCAAAGCGAAGCGCATGAACTTAACGACTATGCCACTGGGCCAGCCCCAGTTCAACCCACTTTTGAGTTATATGTTCTTATTTAGCAGAGTCTAATTTAGTGTTTATTCATATTTATTTGGTTGAATCTTTTTGTTTAAAACCATTATACCTAAATTACTTATTATATTATAAGCATATCTAGTATTTAGATAGTACAAACGTTAATGCTGAATGTGTGATCTTGCACTTGTTTCTTTAATGCTACAACTCAGATGAGAGGCCAGATGCAGTCTCATCTGAAGGAGTTAGAGCGCGTCCGCGATTCCTTGACGGCGGCGGAGCGGAGGCTTCACGAGTGTCAGGAGAGTCTGCAGCAATGCCAGGGGAGATGTGCAGACCAGGCGCACACCGTTAGGGAGCTTCAGGGCCAGGTGTCCAGCTGCTGTTCTCGTTTTTGCTAGACATCATAAAGAAACGCTTAGGAATGATTTCACCAGTTGAGAGCACTTATGTTAGGGCTTGATTTTTCTACTCCCATCTAAATCAGTTGATAAGATATCAATTTCATGCAGATACTATAATATTTTGCAAGCTATTCTTTTAATATTTTATAGTGAAAAATTGGTAACTAAAATTGCTGATTTAGCTTATTCATACAAATCTATATTTAGTCATTTGAGGACAGGGTAATAGCATGATAGAAGGAGTAATGCTATCTTTACATATTATTTTGTGATGTCAGGATAAGGTAAATTATTGTAATTTACCTTACAAAAATTAGAATTTATTTTAACTAGACTTGTGCATCAAGTTTATTTGGAAAAAAGATTAACTTTTTCAACATACACTTTCTTACTCCATCAGAACAGAGATCATGGGTGCCCTGTTAGTCACCACATAGCCATTTCCTGATTCAATGCCTAGCACATAGTAAGCACTTAATAAATATTTTTTTAAGTAATTTTTTTTCCTAAAGAAGCCTGTCCAAGAATGGTAGCAAGTCTTTTTCTTTATTCGCAAAACAATTTTAGGACCAATTCCTTGTCTATCTTTCAAAACATAATCTGGATTTTAACTTTGAAATGCACCCTGTTTTTAAAAACATGCAAACGAAACTTTACTGAATTTAAATTCCTGAGAAGAGATTTTTCTAGGAAAATGTCAAATTACATTGATGACCTAAATTACTGATTGAATTTATGAGAAAGAATTGCTTTGTTTTCAAGGCTTCTTAAACAATTTAAGTATAGCATTTGAAGCAATGGGAAGAATATTCTGTCTTGGCATGGACGAATGTGTTTTTGGTTGATTTACTTGTTTATTTTATTTTGCTTCTCACAAATACAGTTTTTACTTACAGTTACAACTTCACAGATATTCAATTATCAATCACTAGCTTTAGGTGAAACAGAAAACTATAAGAGAAACCCTAAGTATCTAACAATAGGAGATTAATATTGTTTAAAATCTTCACATTTACTTAATAAAATAAATGTCCTTTTTCAATAAAACATTATTCCGAATTTTTGTGTGTGTGTGAGGAAGATCGGCCCTGAGCTAACATCTGCCAATCCTCCTCTTTTTTTGCTGAGGAAGACTGGCCCTAGGCTAACATCCATGCCCATCTTCCTCTACTTTATATGGGATGCCGCCACAGCTTGGCTTGACAAGCTGTGAGTCGGTACCTGCCCGGGATCTGAACCGGTGAACCCCGAGCCGCTGCAACAGAACGTGCGCACTTAACCACTTGCGCCACTGGGCCGGCCCCTTCAGGATGTTTTAATTGCCATCTTTCAGAAAAATTTTTAGTAGATGATTTTCCATAAGGCAACAGTTTTTTTAAACTTAACCAGGAATTTAAGAACTTGTGTTTTAACAATGTAATATTTCTTGATGTCTCTTTGTATATGAGTAATAATAACAATATTTATACCTTCTTGTTTTTTATGATTTTTCTAACAATAAAATATATGGATTTCTTTGGAAGTTGATTATAAAGAAAATAATCAAGAAAACTTTTTTTTCCCTCTATCAGGTTGATGGAAATCACAATCTTCTGAGAAAGCTTTCTTTGGAAGAGGAAAATTTTCTTATTCAGTTGAAGTGTGAAAATCTTAAACAGTAAGTATTAAACTGACTTAAAATTGGTGTTACATTTTTCTCTACACACTATAATTTTAAAATATATGTTTTCTGTAAAAAGAAAATTAGAACAGATGGATGTGGAAAATAAAGAACTTGAAAAGAAGCTGGCAAACCAAGAAGAATGTCTTAAGCACAGCAATCTTAAGTTTAAAGAGAAATCTGCAGAATATACAGCACTGGCCAGACAGCTGGAAGCTGCTTTAGAAGAAGGAAGACAAAAGGTACAGATGGCCTTTATTTAGAAACTTTTTAATTAGTTTACCAAAGAGTCATCTTTTTAAACAGACAATATCTCATCTTGCCAAACCTACAGTTATTGTTTTTATCGTGATGACAGGGTGAAGGGAGCAATTACATTTTTGTTTTTTACCTACTTTTCCCTTTTGGAGCTAAACAGGTATATTACTGGTCCAGAGTTACTTCACTAGATAAATGATGATGTGGCAGGGTGAAGGGCAGAGATGGAAAACACTTTAAAGGAGTCCTCCTTCTTTTTTTTTTAAATAAAACCAAAGCAAATGTGCAAGTTTTTGAACATTTTAATTTTGAGTAGGATCTGGTGAGCTGTAAAGCTCAACTCCCTTTTCTTTTGGCAAATATTGTTGCATGAGTAAATATATGCAAGAATTGAGTTCCAGTTAAATCCATTTGGTTACCATTTAATAAATATCTCACCATTTGTAGGCACTTTGCTAGTGCTTGAGATGCAAAGATGAGTAAGACCTGGCCTCAGCTCTCAGGACACTCACAGTTCTGTAGGGAGATAACATGTGGACAGATGTCATCCAGCACGTCGGTACTACAATAGAGGGAGGGTACAGAGTACACCAGAGGGCATGGTTAGTTCAACCTGGGGATGAGGGGAGATGATTCAGGAAGATCTCAAAGAAGAGGTAAATTTATCAAATGATTGAAAATGTAATCTTGAAAGGACATGAGGTGGGCTTTGGAGTCCAGCAGGAACTGGATTTGAATTGTGGCTCTGACATATTATACCCTGACCCAGGACAAATTACTTCTCTAAACTTGTTTCTTAATTGGAAAATGGGGATGATGAGTTTTATCACAGGATTGATGATGCTAAAAAGAGATCGTCTCTCCCCTGATGACTCTTAGGTGGGTATCTCCACCCCAGACTTCTCTCTCCCCTGAAATGTAGACTCGTATATTCTGCTACTTACTTGACATCTGCACTTAACATAGACATCTCAAACTTAACAGGTCCAACACCCAGTTGTGAATCTTTACCTCTAAACTCTCTTTGACCCATGGTCTTTCCCAAGCCTGTTAATGGCAATTCCATAAGAGTCAGATAAAATCTGATATCCTTGAAATGTGCCTCTTACATCATGTGCCATATTATATATTTTGATTTTTTTAACTCTGGGAAACCAGTTTAAATTGACTTTGAAACACACGTCATTGAATAAAAGCTAGGTAGTAAAATGTACTGCCAGTGGTAGAAATGTAATCCAGATTTCTCAGCCCCACAAACTTTTGAGAGGAAAATAAGAGTGACTTTATTAAGTGGACTTTGAAAATGCTAGGTGCTCTCAGATTTCCTCTCAAAAGTGTTCAGGGTCCCCAGAGACGTGTCTGCCCTCTCCTTTCTCTCCTGCTGCAGTGGAATATGGGGCTTTCTCTAGTTCCTGCCACATGAGGAGTGCCGTCACTGCACTGTCACCATTGTCCACACTGAGGGGTATTGACAAGGGCACGGATATTTGTCCTAAGGGCTCTTTCCCCACAGTTTCAGATCCTGTTAGCCTCTCTCACTGACAATCGCCCTTGGAATTTGTGCACAAGATATCTCTGTAAATCACTTTATAATAACTTAGAACTGAGTCCAAAGAAGTTAGAAGACAATCTTTCCCACTAGCTTCTTGCTCCTGAACTAGTCCCTGCCTCCACTCTCATTCTTGTGGCTCCAAACCAACATTCTTGCAAATAGGCTGCCACATATCTGAATCCTTGGATGAACATAGCTGAGCTAGACTTTCTGCTAAAATAAGCAATCAGAGAAATATGAAAACTCAAATTCAGACCACTTTGGAAGTGAATGAATGAAAAACCCATCTTTTGTGTGTGTGTGTGTGTATGTGAAGTGTATATATCACCTGCCCTGCCCCCATTTCTATCCATCCAAGTCTATAATCAGCATTGAATGAGAACTTTCTATTTTCCACCACCGCTTTAGATACCATGGTGAATATAAGTACTGTAAAACATGGCGGTTGGTCTGAGTAGGTTATAAAAATATAGTATTGGGGAACACACCTGCCTAGGTCACAGAGCAGTGCAAGTGAGTACACCTCTTCCATCTCAAGCTAATTTTGCAGATACTTATACTTCAAAGAGAAATATACATACTTATACTATATGTGCTTCCTGAAGATGGAACATCTTTAAACATTTTCTAATTAAATTGTCTATCATCCAATTAATATATATTTGGAAAAAAGAGGTCCAGTATAACTATGTCAAGGCTTTAAATCATACTTTAAAGAAAGCACATTTAGTTATTTTACTCTTTTAATGAAAATTACAGGTTTCTGAAGAAATAGAGAAAATGTCATCTAGAGAGAGGGCTTTACAAATTAAAATATTAGATCTGGAAACTGAGCTTAGAAAGAAAAATGAAGAACAAAATCAACTTGTTTGCAAAATGAACAGTGTAAGTATTAGTATGGCTTAATGTGTTTTCATAGAAAATAAGTTAGCATTTAACATTCTTACCGTGTAGTTTAGTTAAACAAAGTACAAAGTGAGGGGAATCAGGGCTATTGCTTTACTGATAATATTAAAAATAACAAATAATATAAATCATAAAAAATAAAAATGTCAGGATTATGCCAAAGAATTATCCTGTGTCCTTGATTGCTTCTGTTACATTTCCCCCAAAGTCTCATCAGACCCTTTCCCTGCATATTACTTTTTCATGGCAGCTGCTTAATGAAAATTACAGATATAATCTACTTATTTTCTTTCTGGTATGAACTTTTCATTTTTTAAGATAAATACCATTTAAACTATTATTATGAGTTAGATTTTTGATATCTGTCTGGAATAATGAATATTATATTTTAGAAAGTTATAAGTTGGTGTTATGTAAATATTCGGTATTGTCATATCGTATATGAGATGGATGCTTTGGTCCATTCAGCCATGAAATGAGAAAACCAAATTGGCTGTGTTTAATTAGTCTTCTAATGTTTTTCCTAAGGATTCATGAAATCGTCAATTGGCATAAGATACTATGAAAGCTAGCACTAGTCATGACTAAATTACTTAAAACTGTCTACTTAACAATGACATAGAAAATAATGGTACTTTATTCTTTCCAGGAGCTGGAGACTCCATGAAAACTATTTTTTTCATTCCCAAGTGTCTTAAAAGTTGAAAACCAGGTTCAAAAGTTAAATGATTTTTGGCATGCAATGTTAGTTTAATTTTATCACCATCAAAAGTTCCATGGAAATTTAATCAAAACTAAACATTTCTCACTTTTAATTTAGCACAGGCCTTCCCTTTATTTCTAAACTTTTTTTTTTTTACTCACCATCACAGTTGCTGATATTGTGAAATATGTGTAATGTTCTTTGTGTAATTAAGCCTCTGAAAAAATAAGTGTACTAAGATGAGGTAGATTATGTCATAATGTTCTCAGTACTTGGCCAAAGCTACCAAAATAAATAGGTTTAAGATTTGATGTTTTATTAAACCTGATCATTTTTACAATAGTAAAAATCTAGAATTCTAAGCATAGATTTAGACATGTTCTGTCCCTTTTAGGGGACAGTTCAGTGAGTAGTTCGGTATTTATTTTGTATATGTTCCTTAGCCCAGTTGAATTGTCAGCACCCTGAGATCCTGTCTCATAGTTGAGTGTATCCCAGTGTCTTCCATGTGCCCTACCTGCAGGAGCAGGCCTCTTTAGATTTTCTGCCCAAGTGCCCCAGTGGGGACCAGAGTGGATGCACAGACCCAACGGTGACCCAGCAGCTTAACCCAGGCCAACCTTCCTGAAGCCTGAAATGTCTTTGGAGTCTTATGTATTATCCTAAAATCCATGTACATTTTACATTCTACTCTACAATATGTGTGTTTATATTAATATTTTCCCTCCAAATTTTTGAGTAAAATTGACGTTCCACAAAGATTCACTAGATTCATTTTGTGACTTTGTGTAGCCCAGCCTAGCGCATTGCTTCATACCACCCCACTTCCCCTGAGGGACATCACTCAGTTTCAGAACATATCAGGTATCACTGAACACCTGATAGGAAGGAAATAAAAGATCTCTCTTCTCAAGGTGGCTACATTTTAGTTGGCAGCTAGATGGTATTTGCAGCCTGTCTTTAAAGTATGATTTTCGGTGAACAGATCTACTTGAGAATTTGTATGCAACTGAATATTTAAAAAATATATTAGGTATTTAATTTTTTTCCTCAAATGAAGAACACCTATTATATTGAGTTCTTTTTATTTTTTAAAGAATTCTAAAAGTAAAATGTTCATATTATCAAAACTAGAATTCTGTCCATTTTTAAGACAGCAAAGAAATTTTTATGGTATGAAATATGAATTTTTAGGCAGAGAAAATGGCAAAAACTAGTATTAAAATATGTCATGTTTGGGGCTGGCCCAGTGGTGTAGTGGTTAAGTTTGTGTGCTCTGCTTTGGCAACCCAGGGTTCACTGGTTCAGATCCTGGGTGCACACCTACATACCACTCGTCAAGCCATACTGTGGCGGTGTCCCATATACAAACAAGTGGAGGAAAATTGGCATGGATATTAGCTCAGAGACAATCTTCCTCAAGCAAAAAGAGGAAGATTGGCAACAGATGTTAGCTCAGGGCCAATCTTCCTCACACACACACACACACACACACACACACACACAAGTCATGTTAACTAATGGATATTATGACAGTTTAAAATAAGACCCACTTATTAAGTTAACCATGTTAAATATGTAATAATTTGGGGCTAAGTAAATGCATTACAACAAACTATATCACATGTATATGTCACTAGATAGATCACTAGATAACCATGGATGTGCTTTAGTTATTCCAGATTTTAAAGACAAGTGAGCTCTACGATAAGTTAATAATGAACACATCAGATGTTAGGATTCTTTTAAAAAATTAAAAATCATGTATTCAATTACTGTATATATAAATTTTATATTATGACTCTGTCCTTTGATGTGAATGTCATTACTGATTATCTTTATTTCTTTTTTTTATTTAGAAAGCACAACATCAGGAAGTATGTTTGAAAGAAATACAACATAGTCTTGAAAAGTCGGAGAATCAAAATGAGAGTATTAAGAATTATTTACAGTTTCTTAAAACTTCTTATGTAACAATGTTTGGATAAATTATTGAACTTATTTTCTATAAGCAATAGGTTTTTACTGTGAGTCTAAAAAGTGATTAGGTAAAAAATAAATATACTATCTGTTGTTATACTTTATGATTTATGGGTGGTAGTATTAGAATTTTTATATAAAGATTTTTGAAACATAATTTATTGTCCAATTGAAACTTTAAAACAAGAGAGATGTTAGTATTCCTTTTTGCTGGATAATTTTCACTTAGCTCTGGTTTAATTCCTGTTTAAATTATTTTGGTTTTTAGAATATTTTTCACACACAGATATACAAAAGAAGCCAGAATCATTCTTTGTGACTGTCTGTAGCCACCATTCAAGTGAATTTGTAATAAATCTAGGCCAATTATCAGCCAAATACATGATTTTAAATAATGTATATAATTATTTTACATTGTGGTGCTGTATAGATATAATAAAGGCAAATATTCTGGATATTAATTTTTAATAATGGTATAATTACATACTTTCTAAAGATACCAAATGTCTCAATGTACTTAATATTGCTTCAAGTGTATGCTAAGATGCAATTATAATTTCTGTGAGGTTTTAAATATAGAATTTTAAGTTGTAGCTATTAAATGCCAACTGATGGTCACACATGAAAATATATTGGCATGCACTGTTTCTTTATGAAGGATAGGTATTCAGACTTTCCTATGAATTCGTAGTCTGTTTTGTTCATTTTATGTTAGCGATTATCTGATATTATTAGTGTAGATGTTCTAAAACCCCTGAGTTAACTAAAAGATTAAGGGGAACAACTGGTCCCACCCCTTCCATGGCCAACTCACATGGGATGATCAAAATAAGCACTCCTAATACCAAGAAGCTTTAGGATAAGGTCTTTATTATTGGGATGATATAGAGGAGATACCACGAACTTGTTCCCCATAATCTCCCACCCTATGCTATGTGCCAAGGCAGGATACCCTGGAAGGGGATGGATGTGGTTGACAAGGGGTCAAGTAATAGTGACTCCTCGCAGATGGTGGCTTGAGAGCTGTTCATTCAAAGGAACAATCAGGTCTCAAAAGACCATTCGAGAGGCAAGTTGTGTACTACACAGTGCAGCTTATGAACAAAACTCAGTCTCCGCAAGATGTTTTATCCTCTTCTCCAATCAAAAATGGAGACCTGCATTTCTCTGATTCCCTCACTCCTAAGACTGCCATATCATCTGTAAGGGCTTACTTTCTAATGACCCATCTGCTTCATAGTATTTTTCTTAAAATAGCAAAATATTGTAATGTCAGAAACTGGCCACATTTTTTGCCTAACAATGTTAGTGTTACCTTTTTTTTTTTTGGTAAATCATGATACCTGTGGTACTAAAACACATGCTTGACCCTTGTGATTCTTTCTTCATCTCCTAAGGCAAAGGGAGCCATAAGAAATACTCACGAAATGAAACAGAGGTTCCTGGTATTGCTCACTAGACTGTGAGCTCCTTTAGGACAGAACTGTGTCTTACTCATATTTCTATCTCAGCCCCTACACATTACCTGGTACATAGTAGGTACTCAATTGATGTTTGTGGACAGATAAATGGATGGAAGTTGAAAGAGGTAGGTATTCATCTTGTTTTAGATGTGAAAACATGTAAGCTTAGAGGGATTAACTACCGTGGCTGTGGTAGTCAGCATTTGGAAGGCAGCCACGCTCACCTCTATACCACCCACGCTGCACTGCAGTCAGCATTTGAACTCAAGCCTTCTGACTCCATAATTAAAGTTGTGTGTACTGTGCTGCTTTCCTGTTGCAAGCAGTGGCGGCAGCAGCCCAGCAGCAACACTGCTGTTGTTTATTGAGTACTTGCTACACGCCAGACCAAGTTCTGAGGATGGTACACGTGTTAACTCATGTAATCTGTACGCTTGATGAGATAGGTGCTAGTAATTGCATTCACTTTTCAGGAAACCAAAACACAGCAAGCCCAAGGTCACACAGCTAGTGAGCGGCAGGCATCTGGAGCCTCTCCTCTTGATTCTAACCATACTACTTTCAGCTACATTTCATAAAGTATTGGTTTTTTTAAACAATCATGCACTTACCTCATCTGTGAGTACTTTCTCTTTTTTATTTTATATTTTTAATTTTTATCAATGTAGTTTGTGTATATGGCATTTAAAAATTGGTACCTGCAGTGTTTTAGATAGACTGTGGAAGGGAAAGACTGTCACAAAGTCCCTAAGGTCGGCACTCAGACGCTAGAGACATAGGACAACAAAAGAAGTGTGCCAGATCCTAGAAGAACTTGAACAACCTGTGCTTACTGTTTCCATGTGAGCACTAAGCACAGACATTAGGCTCTTCTGGTGTGTGAACCGCACGCAGCGTCGGGGAGGCCCAGAGTCAGGGCCTTGGTGTGCCTGAGCAGTGTCTGCTTCCAGCTTCCCACCCTCCCAGAAAGCCTTTGTCCCCACAGTGCTAACAGGCTGGCAGGATTTTCCTTTTATCCTTGATATTCAGAGCCTCATGACTTCCTTAAGTTCTAAAAGTTTTCTTCCATTGTTTATGTGATTCTTCTCTACATGTTCCTTTCCTCCTCATTTTGTCACCCAGATCTGACCTCCATGCAACTTGCCCTGTGACACCTCAGGGCGTCACAGGGTTTCTTGTGAGGTATTTCTTCCACCTGACTTTTCTGACCACTGATGTGGTTCTCAAGGGCAGTCATTCTCTTTTTCTGTCAGATATTGAGTTTCTAATTAAGAAATCATATTTTTTTAGTTCCTGAAACTGTTGGATTTTGTGGGATATTTTTGTTTTTAGAGCTCTAATTCCATTCTATTTTCATTAAAATTCTCTTCTGTTTCTTCTATTGGTTCTGCTTCAGTAGGCATCTCCTGTTTCTGTTCTTCTGGCCATCTTTCTTTCCAAGCCCCATACGCGAGTGTTAATTTTCCTTGCCTCCCCATGGTTGTGGTTCCCTCAGTACCTGCCAGCAGCCTTGCACATTTCTTGGGCAGTAGCAGACCAAGTGGTGAAAGATGTGGTGGCTTCAGTTCTCCTGGGCCTGGACCTGTTACCCTCTGCTGAAGTACTTGCTATGAGAAACTGTTCTGCTCCCAGACTTTTCCAGTCACAAGTAACTTTGTCAACTACAAAGACTGGAAACACTTCATTCCACTGGAGAACCCGCTTCAAGGTTTTCTGGCGTCAGCAAGTTTGTTGCAGCAAACAAGTCAAGTCCCCTTTGGAGGGGAACGCAGGCAGCATCCGTACCTTGAATCAGGTGCAGCGGTTTAAAGAATGAGTTCAGTCTCTATCTGCTGGCTTAAGATTGTTCATGATTTTTATTTTTAGGTGAAGAAAAATCACAGAATTATGTATTCGTTATGATTCACTTTTTGTAATCAAAACAAGCATCTCTCTATTTGTGTATATAAGTTCACATATGTTGGTGTGAGCATGGAGAAAGGTGTAGAGAAGCCTACATGCCTTGGTAGGGATGGAGGAAATAGTAATAACTTTCCACCTATTCTAATAAGATTCTATTACTTTCAGCTTTTTCCTAGTCAGATAGTAAATGTTAAAGGTTGGAGGACAGGCATGAGAGGTGTAGGGAGCGGGAGAGTAGGATTGGTGAGAGGTCATGGTCTGAGAATGAAATATTAGAATTTGATTTTCAGAGGTGGAGTGGTTTTGGACAAGGAAAAAGTGAAGAGAAGCCTGCTTGAGATGGAGATGGAGGTCACTGGAGTCCAGGGTGTTGAGTAACTGAGGAGCCTTGGATGTGGAAGCTCTCTAGGATGTGGAAGGAATTGGGGTAGAGCTGAAGAACAAGCATCCTGGTTAGATGTGAGCAGATGAGTAGATGACTGTGATAAGGAATGAAGTTTTAAAACTCTAGCGATGGTTTCTGACTGCATTTAGAATAAAATTCAAAGTCCTGGCCCTCATGTGCATGGCCTCAAGGCCCTGCCCACCTCTTCCTGTCCTTCTCATACCGCTGTCCTCACCCGCTATGCCCAGTTGCACCTGGTTTCCTTGAAAACGAGATCCTTCCTCCCTTCCTTTTCGCATCTTAAAATGCTCTTTCCCCCACTCTTGGCCTGACTAAATCCTACTCATTATTTTGTGTACCTTCCTCTTCTTTTCTCTCATAATTAGCAATTATTTCTCATGTGATTATTTGTTTCATATTTGTCTCACTAGATTTTAACCCCTGTGAGGATTCACTGTTCTGTAGCCTGTATCTACCACATAGCAGGCATTAGGTACAAATTTATTGGACAGATAGATAGATGGAGGGATGGTTATATTGCCCTTAGTTCTGAGCTTTAAAGTAGGGAGAGGAGATTTGCCTAAGAAACAGGGCAATTATACAGAGTCTGTGAGAATGAGGAGTTTTTACTCCTGAGGGCTGTAAGGGAAGCTGTTTCTTGGGTGAGGGATTGGGTTTCCTTTCAGGCAGAAGTAGAGACTGAAGAGATTCAGGGTGCAGGAGACCTTGTTTATAATCAGACATGTGTTCCAGAGGCCACAGTGGAAAATGGGAAGGAGTTGGCGTTGGGAGTGTCAGGAAGGTAGAATGAGTTCCTTTACAGCTGCTTGCTTCAGATAGTTTAAGAGGAATTTCTCTTTTTTTTTTTTCTTGTCTCAAGAATCAATAAAAATCTCATGTGTTGGGGCCGGCCCAGTGGTGTAGTGGTTAAATTCACATGCTCTGCTTTGGCGGCCCGGGGTTCGCAGGTTTGGACCCCGGGCGCGGACCTACCCGCTGCTTATCAAGCCATACTGTGGCAGGCATCCCACGTATAAAGTAGAGGAAGATGGACATGAATGTTAGCCCAGGGCCAGTCTTCCTCAGCAAAAAGAGGAGGATTGGCAACAGATGTTAGCTCAGGGCTAATCTTCCTCACCAAAAAAAAAAAAAAAAAATCCCTTGTCTTCTTTTCATTTGATACTATTGAATTGAACAAGTTGCTTAAATCCCAAGTGTAACTTAGTGTTTTTGATTTATTTAACATTACAACTAGTTGTGGTACTTTCAGATAACACTTCCACAAAAGAAAAAATAAATATTAAAAATAAATAACATTTTTTTCCTTAAAATTTAATTTATGATTTCCTTAAAATTGTAAAGTTTAGGCTTATTTTTAAAAATAACTCAAGTATCTTGCTTGTTTTCTTCTTCGGCATAGTTGGGGTGGGGGGGTTGGAGGGAGGAAGAACTGTTAGGAGCCCTCTTTATCTAGTTTGTTATTAGATGAAGTTAATATTGACAACAGATTACAGTTAAAACCATAAAAATTAAACCTGTGATTAACTATCATATCTTATTTGATTAGAAGCATTTTAATTATACACTGTGACTGCTTTTTGCAAACTTAAAGTTTATTTTTTGCAACTTTTTCGTAAAAAAGAAAAGTAATTGCCTATCATTTAAAAAAAAAGAACTCGGGCTGGCCTGGTGGCGTAATGGTTAA